ATTTTGAGTTGATTTTTGTGTATGGTGTAGGGTAGAAGTTCATTCTTTTTCATGTGACTATCCATTTTCCCAACACAATTTGCTAAAGAGACTATTCCTTTTCTTCATTATCTTTTTACATACCTTTTTTCCATGTAGTTTTAGAATTGAATTTGGTTTGTAGATCCCAAGAGCACTAGCTCTGTTATTTCATTATTCAAAATATGAGTCAACTTTACAAAAAAAAAAATTAGAATGAGATACTCCTTTCAAATAGGTCAGGATTGAGAAAATCCCTGATTGTCAGATTAAAAACTTGGACTCCATGTGGCATGTAACTGCAGTTTTTATTTAGCAAGTGTTTACTGGGATACTTAATATACATAGACTGCTTACTATCCTGCATATTTGTGTTTCTCTCTCTCTCTCTCTCATCCCCCATACTGCAGATTTTTTAAAGCAATACTACTATAAATTGTGATAAATATAGTCTTTGTGATAAATATAGATTCAGGAATAGGGCAGCTAAGAAGTGAAAGAAAGCACTCGGCATTTGGTGTGTCATTTAGAGTGTGTCAGGGATTTCAGTGTTAAGATATAGAGAAAGTGATATTCCAAGCAGAGGGAACTAAGTTAGCAAAAGTACAGAGTTTAGAAGGTAAGTGGAGGAAGATCAAACTTCTAGAAGCAGTAAATAAAGACATTAGAGTAAAAGTGCCATGTAGCAGAAATGCGTTATATACATAAACTTGAATATCAGGCTGAGATGCTTTAAGCTTTTTAATTTTATTTTCATCTTAAAAACCATTTTCATCCCAATAAGGAAACCTAAGTTCCTGGAAATATTTTTTTTTGACCCTTATAATCAATAACATTTATTTAATATAAGCTGTGCACATGTAACTGAACTCGGCATGGTAGAGATCCCCCTCAAGAGTCTTGGATTGTAGGGATGTAGACAGAGAATAAAGAAGCAACTCTAAAATCGTGTTCCAAATGCCATTGTAGAAATATTCACTGACATAAGCCTTCTGAAAAAGGAAAGTATTATCTCTGAAGGATTTGGGCCAGACTCAGGGGGAGTTCAATAATGCAGTTGAAACAGTAAGAATTGACAAATTTAGAAGTGGGAAGATAGACTTCCCCAAAAGATGTAGAGGACAAACTTCAGTCTCATTAAAGATCAAGGAGGAACTTCAGAAATGGCAAAAAGCTCAATGAAGCCAGTTACAATGGATGGAATGGGTGACAAGTGAGAAACTAGAAAGGTAGGTTGGAGCCAGATTGTAAAGGATGATGGAGACAGAGAAATTACTACAGGCTATAAGCAGAGAAATGACATAAGTGGCTTCGAGGGACCTGAAGAACAGGTGGAGTTGAGCTGCCGTGAGTTAGGGCAGTGGTTTTGAAGATGAAGAGGAAGACTAGACACTCAGGAGGAATTATCACCCAATAGCAAAAGGGCTCTTGTGAGCTGGAGCCAGAGTGCACCACAATGAAGATAAATAATAGATAAATAATAGATAAGGGTAAATCATTTGTCACTTTTCAGGAGACATATGAGGACCTTCCCAAAGAGAACAGTTTTTAGCTATTACAAATAAGAGGTCTCATTTCAAATTGTTTACTGACTTTTTAACGGACTTTAAACGTCTTTGAAAGCTTACTATCTAAAAGCTATCAGCACCTTGGGGTTCATATAAAGCTTTCACACATGTTTCTTGTTTGTGTCCTTGCTTAGCTTTAGCAGGTTTATCTCATTTCTCACATAGAAAAAGCTCTATAATTACTTTTTTTCTTCTGCTTCAGCTATATAAACCAATGTTCTTAGCATCTGTCCTGGAAGGTCTTTACTCTTTCTCACAGGAACTGTCACTGAACTGAATATTTTCCAGTAACTGCTTTTACTCACAATGTATAAGCACTGTGCATTTCATTTGTAACTAGCATGTTAATTCTACTTTTTTTTGCCATTTCTATCACTTAGGATTAGGGCTGGCTCTGCATTGTACAGACTAAAATAACAAGGACTTATTTTCTCACGTAAAAGCCAGACCTGGTAATTGAATGTTGGCCTGGTGCCATTGCTCCGCAAAGCTCTCAGGGACCCAGCTCCTTCCAGCTCCGCCGCCACCACTCACTAGGGAATTGCCCATGTTTTCATGATCTGAGACAATCCAGCTATCATATCCCCATCCAAACAGCAATAAAGTAATGGGTTGAGAAAAGAGGCAAGGGATGTCTATAAGCTGTCTTTAAGATTTTTCGTCTATAAGCTGTCTTTAAGATTTTTCAAGCTGTAAAGATCTGTCTGACTATGTCTCATTGGTCAGTACTGAGTCTGTAGGAGCTACATCTAGCTGTAGGGAAACATAACTAAATCGTCTACTAGTTTATGAAAATGTATTGAAAGGTGGATTTAAACTTAAAAGAACAAAAGAAGGAAATACAGTATTTTAGACAGGTAATCACATTAGAGAGCTAGAAAATCTTTGCTTAGATTCATTCCCCTGGTTTTTTCTAGAATTCTCTTTGTCCTTCTAAATATCAAAGTTATCATTCTATCCTACATTCTTCATAGCATTTATGGTTAAGGATCAGCTGCAATTAGTGACTGTATCAGTACTTTGAAAATTAATGTTGCACAAATATAAAGTGTTATCTTTTAAAACATTAAGCAAACTGCTGAATATAAACTCAAAAAGATATTACTGAGGCAACATGTCAGTTTTTACAACAACTTTATAGTAATCATATTTGACAAGCAGAAGGATCAGACATTAATAACAAATAACTCTTAAAGGGAAAGGAGATATCTCTGTTTATAAATCACTTTCGGGAACATGATAATGCATTTAGTCTGTGCAGTAAGGATTATTATGCTCATTTTACAGATAGGAAAACTAAGTCAGAGAGGTTAAATGAATTGCTCAAAATCATGTACCTGAGTGGTAAGTTTAAAAACTATGTTGTCTGAAAATCTCTCACACTCATATAAACTGTGTTGCTGCTCCAGTTTTTAATGTGTCAGACATCTTGTTGCCTATTTGGTAAAGTCTAGATCTCTAAGATTAGAGTAACAGACCCTCAGTTATTTATATTTACTTTATTTGAATGATGTTCTTTCTCATTTCTTCCCAATATAAGTCATATCCTTTCATTCGCCAATTCCTTCCTGCATACACACATTACTCTACAAAATTCCTAATTTCCTGCCCCACAAAGATGTCTTCTTTTCTTGGCTTTCTCAACTTCTGTCCATTCTTTAAGTGTCAGCTCAGGTTCCATCTTCTGTGTGAGGCATTCCATGAATACTTTAGTCTACACAAAATTTCCATTTTCCTGAACTTCTGTAACATAGAGAATATAAATAGAATGCATATATTACATTTAATTATAGAAGTAAATTATACACTGTATCAGATTATTCCATATGTCTTAGCTTTTTCTCCCCAACTAGACTTTAAGGTTTTGTATTTCTTAAGTTATTTCAGTAGCACAAGGACAATGGTAAGAATATAGGAAGAACTAAAACTAGTTCAGATGTAAATTAAGCCAACAATTAATCCATAAGCAACTACTAAAATCTAGTCTCAATTTTCATGACAAATGAGGAAAGAGGTTCTAAAAGGCAAAGAGACTGATCCACTGTCACAGCTAGGAATTGAATTCTGCAATGCTAAACTTATGTCACTTGATCCTTTCAACTCTCAGTTGAACATCTGACTGAAAGTCAAAAAAATACATACATGTGTGCGTGTGTGTTTGTGTACATGTGTGTTTAGCTTACTATCTCAGGTTGAAAGAATCCCAGAAACATAGAGGCATTCCTAAATAATGGTAACCTTCAGGTTAATTTAAGTGTATCTTATATATTCAAAACTGAGAAGCGAGGAACTAGTAGAAATTTTATCAGAGAAAAGCTGGATAAGAACTTCTAATTAAGTCAGGATATTAAAGTGAACTGTTGAGATATTCTTTTATGCATGCAGTCACGAGATATTTCACTAATATCCATGTTACCATCTATAGTCCCTAACTATATGATTGTTTTTAGTCTATATGTAATATAAATTGTGTCAGGTTGGGGGCAGCGTTTTCTGCTTATGCTCATTTTGTAATCTCAAAGTAACTGGAGTAGTGCCAAGGATATGTAATTCATAGAAATACACTATCAGGAGAAAAATAGATTATCTTATCTTTTTCTTGATGCGTGAATTCCTTCTTTAAGTGAATATACTATTGGTATTTTGAATGATGAGCAACTCAAATATTTAAAGACTACAAGCACATTCCTTTTTCATCTTAGAATGTTGGTTTAAATTTTCCAAATTAATTTTTAATAATTTTGAGCATATATATTTTTCCCTCAATATAAAATATGTCCATTACAGCTTAAAATATCTATCAATCATCTCTCTCCATCTATTTATCTATCCTCAGTTATACGTGAAAAATTGAATTATCAAGAAAAAACTTTGCTCCCAATGTTACTATCGATGAGAGGAATTTTGCATTCATCAGTGTTCAAGACAATGTTCAAGGACCACAGGGGAAATGATTGAAAATAAGAATTTCTGGCACATGCTTTAAATATTATATTTTATTATTCCTTGTGACTACAATCATATTTTCTACTGTAGAGAAATTTTTGGTTCACTTTGTTTGTTAGAAGAAAGTGATCTTATACTGTTTGAGTATGTGTTCATTTTGTGGAGCAGAGATACTGGACTCCTAGACACATTTGGGGGCCTTAGAGACCCTCTAAGTTAACCCCTTTGCTACAGATGAGTTTATGTAACTTACCTGAAGTTATTAGGTGATTTATAGTGGTTTAGAGTCAAGTCAGTTCTCTGCATTTTTAGGCCTTTTCTGTCTTTCTTCCTCTTTTCTTTTCCCTACAAATTTCAATTAATAGATTTTACTTCTCAAAATAATTATTGTAAGAAACGAGGTAATTTATTAAAAAGGGCACTGATTCTCTCCTCTCTGTCTTCTTCTTCTTTTTTTTGCATATCTAGCTCTTTTCAATCTAATTCCTGTGGGCCTGCGTGTGGTGGCCATCCAAGGGGTGAAAGCCAGCCTCTATGTGGCCATGAATGGTGAAGGCTATCTCTACAGTTCAGTAAGTACCTTGTAGTGTGTGTGTGTGTGTGTGTGTGTGTGTGTGTGTGTGTGTGTGTGTGTGTGTGTGTGTGTCTGTGCGCGCGCACGCAAACAGTCGCTGAGGTAATGAAGTAACCATTATTTTAGGGAAGAAAATTTAGAAGTTGAAGTCATTTGATATTTTGTGATCTAATTTTTCAGGATTATTATGAGGGTTTTATAATTTAGAAAGTTGATACTGTTGTATTGAATGAGAAAGGAAAAGTTAATCTCCATGCAATATAAATTCTCTGTGTCTAGCTTTCACTTCTAGAGGGTATTCTATCTTTTGAATTTTATCTTTCTGTTTAATTCAAGAAGTAAGACATTTCTCCTTTCACTTGTTACCTTTCCTTAAACACAAGGGATATCTTAGGAACAGAAATTCTTTAATTTATCTTAGAATTTTCTCTGTCCTATTGTGGAGGAAAAACATTCAGAGCAGATTGTGGTTTTGTTTGCATTTAATAAGGCTGTGTAGTATATAATATGTCAGATTCTTGAAGTAACTTTAATTCAAAGACAATATGAATTTATAGGATGAGCTTTGGATTAGGGACAGGGATATTTGGGTTTTATTTGCATTTCACTTACTATCTAGATATCCCTTTGGACAAATCATTTCCCCTCTCTGGCTCACTTTCTAGCCTTTTAAAATAAGAGTCTTTGACACCATGTTGTCTAATGTCTCTTTTAAATTCCAAACTGGCAAAATTAGGTAGCAATAGTGACTGCATTTTTAGTACTGACATATTTTAAAGTGGTTAACAGTATTCTGATGCCTATCACACTCTCAAGATAATAATGTATGCATTGAGAATATGTGGTTGCACTGAATGTTGTGCGTGTGTGTGTGTGTGTGTGTGTGTGTGTACAGAATTTCTGATTTCCTGTAATGGAGTTGGCTATTTGTAGTTTATGAAAAAAATTCTTGAAAATCATGGTTTAGATTTCCACTATTACTCTCTGTGATTTCAGTAAATAATACAAGGCTATTTAAGAAGTTATTTATGCCTACTATATTCTAAATTAATTATTGAACTGTTTTTATTAGGCTATTTCAATATTCAATTAAATACGTCTCTGTCATGCTGGACTTAGAACCTGATACCCCAAAATAATGATGCTTTAACATGCTGTCCAGGAGAAGATGCCACAAGATCTCCGGACCCCTTGCCACCCAACCTACCCATATCTCAACTCTCTGTTTCTCCCAAAGCACGGGATGAAAATATTCTCTGAAATTCCCTTATCTGCCTAAATTTTGAACCTATCACAGAGTAAAACAATTACTCTGGCCTCTTTCCTGAGATTTCATTAGTTGAATTCCTATCGCAGGAAGAAAGACTGAAGTCACAAATTGTAGTCTACTCTGCGGGCCCAATAGTCTTTGTCCCAAGCCATTGTATGTTCTTTAAGCTCATTTTATTCCCCTAAAAATAATTTGCTAGCTCTCTAAAATTATCCACAAATAGCCGGGCTGGGTGGCTCAGCCTGTAATCCTGCGCCTTTGGGAGGCTGAGGTGAGT